TGGGGGTATTGGTGGCCGTTATGGGGGTGTTGGTGGTGTTGTTAGGGGTTCTGGACCCCCCCAATTTTTTTATTTTTATTTTTTGCGGGGTGCTGACGACCCCTGACCGGTAGGTGCCGACCAGCCAAACAGTCGGCGGGTCGGCAGCCTACCTGTCAAGGGCCGCCGACCGTCGGAAGTGCAACACTGCTGTATAAGTTAGTATAACCTGTTTTATTTTGTCTAACCTTGTTCTTTGGCCCCAAAAGGGCTTTGCCCCTATTATTATTGTAACTCCTTCGGGATGTGAACTTAGTATGTATTTATCAAGAACACCATAATGCTGGCGTTAATTTCATATTGGGATATGACTGTACCAATGCCAGACTGGTATCCGATTCTACCAGTGGCAGAGGAAGCTTACCAAATTTAAGCTGTAAGCAGTCATATATATTGCCCTCTGTAGGTGAAGAATAGAAGCAGGTGCGTCCTCTAGTACGTAAAAGAAATGGGCTTGATGGGCTTGATTAAGGTCGGGAATGGGGTCAAAGTTGAGAAGAGGTCGGGAATGGGGTCAAAGTTGAGAAGAGGTTTTGGGGTTAATGATCTCCATAAAAGTTCAAGTTTGGCAGGGCCTTTGAGTTGGCGTGCCTCCTGAAAAGGAAGTGGTTTGAGACTTGTAGCCCTGGAATTTGTACCCCTTATGGGCAAGAGCTCTTGATTCCGCAAGGATTTTATGGGTGCTGGGCTTCCGTGGTCAGGGATTGGGGTTGAAATTGGGAATAAGATCTGGGTATGGGACATCTAATCATCCCCCCCCCTTCCCCCCCGCCCTCTCCCCGGGGCTCACCCCTCACCCAAACCAGGACGAAAAACAAATCCTGGAGGTAACTTTGTACAAAGAACATGGCACAGGATCGAAACAGGAGTGCTCATGCCAACCCCTGCAAAACATGAATATCCGAAGCTAGTGGAAAGAAACACATTCAGTGCATGAACTCTTGATTCCACTTAACCATGTGCTGTCTTCATTGTATGCAGGCCGTGGCACCTGAACTTACATTCTATGACGATACAAAATGGCCTGAAGGGAGTGCTTTTCGTCCAGAACGGCTTCTTCGTGCAAAGATGGACTTCCACATGATGTATGTAACATGCGGCATCTGTGGCCCGTTTTCACCTACATTCATGGAAGAATTGCATATGTTTCATGATTGCATCTTTTTGTTATTCAGAGAAACAAGTATGAAATTGTTCTTCATGATCTCAGGGGGATACGAACTCAAACATCATGTGCTGAACTTCTTCTTCTTCCTGCTTCTTCCTCTCCTGCTCCTGCTCCTTCTCCTCCTCCTGACCTTTGGAGTTGTATTGCTGGCTGTTTCACCCCGGGCATGCATCTGGAAGTGCATCACACACAAATTGTGTTCAGGTTCCCCTGCCTTTATCCGAAAGGTACACACTGTGTTCAGGACCTTCAGGTTCCCTTGCCTTGGTTCGGAAGGGAAGCTAATCTCTCTGTGATATTGCAAGTGAGAGTGGGAGAGCTTTGCCTCCTACGCGCTTCATGTGTGTTTAGTATTTTGTAATACTTCAGGTTTACTTGTGTTATTAGGTCTTGATTTTTTTGCTATGATTTTTCCAGTTGTTTATGTAGGAGCTATTGCTGTTCTATTTTTATTTGTGGTTATGAGTGTGTTGCACATTGGAGGGAGATACTCACAAGGGAGGATTTGTCAGGGATATTATTGTGAGATTTAGAGTGGGAGCTCTGGGATGGACCATAACCCCATTCTTTCATGTATGCTGGGAGAGAGCTTTCACCTTTTGTTCCACCCACTTTCATTGCTGTTTGTTTTTTTGTCTGCCATCTTCCTGCAAACACAATGCATCCTCATCATGACTGCATTGGATCAAAATGTTTGCTTGTAGACATTCGTGATTTGGGTACGCATTCGGGGGAAGAACGAGGGCAATTTGAAATGTGTTTGCTGGTCTTTGTAGATGTCTTCAGTATGCTGAATAAGTACATCAGCAAAAGGTGTCGGTAACATGCCATTCTCCTGCATTCTGTGGATATCTCTGTGTGAGTCTTTCATGGACTTCATTTGTGAACAGTCGAGGTTGCCAAATGTTGATCCTAGGTGTTGCTGAGTCAGCACCAGGAGTGGTCGCCATCTGGCTCACCACCGGACATTATTATATTAAGAGGATAAACTCTGCTCTTTTGCTGCCGTTTATGAATGTACGACTGACTCTTTCACTCTGTTGTCATCAACTGGGATGACATGCGCAGTTTACATGCACTGACATACCTCTTTCAGTGAATGCTCTTTCAGCTTATGTGGTGGGCTTCTACCATTTTGCTTTCGATTTGAATTGTCACAGGTATGCAGGTAAAGGTAATGGTTTGTGGCTGGCAGTGCGGGTAAAAGGACTAGCAGTGGAAGGGAGCTCAGGTCTTATGGTGGTGGAGCCATTTGATGCAAATGCGGACTATGCATTTGCTGATGGCAAGACGGAGATGAACGTTACTTGTGGGGAGATTGTTGTACGATTGTCATTTAAAGTCATGGCTTTGATAAGGCAACTTCATGAGAATCTTATGATGTCGGTATTCACCGGGAGCGCGCAGTTGGTTCAACTATGCAGCCACTTTGACAGAATATGGGTGAAGGAGACAGGTGATTATTTCGCCAGAGTCCGTCCGTTGTGCATACTGGTTTTCAGCATGGCTGCTGTTCTGGCAATGAATGCTCTTTTTCAGCACCACCGATGTTTTCACAATGATTGATAGTTTTGAAGCCTGTGGAAGTCTACAGTTTCTTCAATATGAGGTTACCAAGTTACAACATATGAATACATTGCCGTTGTGCTCCTTGCTGTGCCTTTTTCCATCTGCAAGGGATGACATCATATGTCAGAAACTGAGATGGACCTTGAGGTGTAAGTCAGGTTGCCAGTTGCTACGAGGAGCTGCTGCTGGCTTTAGTCCACTTGGACCCGGTAACCTGGCCAGTAACCCCTGCAGCTCCGCATCAGATAATCATGACATTTTGTTGTCACAGCTGCTCACTACACCATGTCAGAGTCCTCTTCACTGTGCTTGTTGACGATGCTACCACGGTAGAAGAGCCCCACAGCGAATATGGATCATGATCTACCCCTAGCTGTTAACAACACAGCTATATAAGACCACTCAAGCCTCACTCTTCTGATGACACCCAGACAACCCACAACTCGTATATCAGACAGTGAGCACTCAGGAGCTCCATCCGTTCACCCCAATTATGATTCTCTTATTGGTGCTGCGGAATCGACAAATACACTGAGGCATGGTCATTGATTTGTCCTCTGGAACGGCATTCTTCATGAAATAGATGCATGGTCTTTGTGGAATCAATGTCTGTCTGCAAGTGCATGATTTCGGAGTGTGAAACATCTGAGTTAAGGGCATTTCGTGCCTAACTCACCCTTGCCAAACACACTTCCCATCCGTTCATTTCAATGATGATTCTGTCATTGGTATTGCGGAATCGACAAATACGCCGTAGGCAATGGCATGGTGATTGATTTGTCCTCTGGAGCAGCACTGGCCATTGGAATAGATGCATGGTCTTTGTGGAGTCGATGTATGTCTGCAAGTGCATGACATGGTCGATGCTTTTGCTGCGGGTTGTTGCCTCATGTGGTGATATAGCTTCAATCCCTTTGTGTTGTCGTTGTGAGTTATGATGGTGCCACTATTTATGTCCGTGGATTTGTCCGTGGCTGTTTTAAGACTATTTTGAATGTGCAGTCGAACACAGTCATCTGAGATGCCCTCCTGTACACACCTGTAAGTTCTGATAGTTTTGTTCGTAGTTTTCCAGTCCTTCAGCATACCAATGTCAAGATGGCTACTATTCTTTAAAGGAGCGTAACGTTATGGTGACTGTAAGTTGAATCTGTTGAGATCATGTGCTTGCATTCTTCTTAGTTGATATGTTCTGTGACAATGGTCAGTGCCTTGATGAATGGCAGGTGACCAGGATGGCCAAGGTGTTGCCATGTGGAGACCCAAGGCACCAAGAGGATTCGTCGTTGTTGGTGATTGTGCTACATCCGGGTAATCACTCATTTATGGACACATGTCAAGTTGATGCCCATGTTATCTACTATCTCGTATATCAGGAAATGGTATGGATTTAATTCAAATGTTTCTGTAACCTAAGACTCCAGGAAATTAGGTCACCATCGAATGGACTCTTGGTGGAACGGACCACTTCGTGTTTGCAACTCTTTTTGATCCATCTCAATCAAATGAGATTGAACTGGCGCCGCTGCCACTTCGTGGTCTTGGACATTCAAGAGTCGTACAAAACCCAATTGTCTCGGTATTTCTTACCGTGAAAGCCAAGCCAAGTTTGATTCTCAATTGATGGCAAACCATCTCCCTGGAGCAGGCTTCCTTCTTGTTAAGCTGCATTTGTAATTGTCAACTCCTGTCCGTGTTCTTGCCAGGTGCATGTTTTGGCCGTTGGGCCTTCGGACCGGAGGGAACCCCAACCTATGGTGCACCCATCACAGCTATCAGTATTTTACTATTTTCTTTTTCACAATAAATAGCAGTCGGGTCATGGGACTCATGGCGCACGTTTCCAAAGAGCAAAAAAAGAAAAAATAGCAGCAAGTTCTTTTTGCCTTTTTGAACTTAGGCCCTCTGCACACCACGGCACACCCCTGCCATTACAATGTTCCACGAAAAATTAATTATTTATTTTAATTCTTTATTTATTTATTAAATAAAAAAATGAATCGTTTCATTAATAGCTTGGAAATCGAGGCCGGGGACCTCATAATATTTTTACTTTGGCTGAAGGAGCTATTTAGTATTTATCGACTTTCAAATTTCAGCAGAACTGCATCTTTTAGCTCTTCTTTTTCTCTGGCTGTGTGTGCTTGCTGCTTTGGCAGGCCGTTCGGCCTGTTGGGAGGGCTTGCTTAGTTGTTCTCTCTTGTCAGTGCATAGGTTCTTACCTCGCTTGTTGCCTTCTATGTTCTTGTTTCGTTTCGTTTCCTTCTTTTTTGATTGCTGCGGATGCAGAAATATGCCCCCTGCGCAGTCAGTGATTGCCATCAGTGCTTCCTTTCGGAGAGTGAGCCGTCCTGTGGGGTTCGACTTGGTTTGGTCGTCATCAGGGGATATGTCCATACCCAATGCTTCTGGGGTTGACCAAATCCAAGAGAGCGTTGAAGGTGCATCAACACAAGGGAGTGCAGCGTCAGGGGCTGAGGAGTTCCGTATTTGGCTTCCAATCGCACCTCCTGGCTATGCCGCATTGGGTTGTGTGTGTGAGAGAGGAAAGCTACCGCCGTCGACCACCACGATTTACTGTGTTCGGACTGACTTGCTCACATCGACCGTAGTCAGTGACTGTGTTTACTACATTCACTCAGATGATGGGTAAGTCCATGAACACGTTTTGTCCTTGAGCAAGTTTTTTTTCCTTGGAGCGCTTTACTGAATGATGTGTGATGTTCCAAGTTCTGTTATTAGAACCGTAATTCTTGGTCACCTGTTACCACCATGGTAGGCCTATCCTACCATCGAAAGTTGATAGGGCAGAAATCTGAATGGAAAATCACCGGCTCGAAGGCCGTGTGATGTTCCAAGCAGGGCTGGGCTGGCGACCGGCCGGTCAGGCTGACCCGGTCCAACCGGGACCGGACCGGCCGAGGGGGGGTCAACCGGAAAACCGGATGGCCCAAAAAAA